ACTGCTAGCGATTCAAAATCATGTAAATTGGCCGGTCTTGACCTCATTGTAGCCGGGGGAGAGTTTGATATTAGCCTTGGTAACAAATGCGATTGGTTTCGGTAAATGCGACAGAGGAAGCGCAAATGCGACAAATGAATAAGACGACGGTAAATCCACCAAATCAAGTCGGGGGAGGAAGCGATAAGTGTGTAAATGGATTATGGACTCTAATTCATTTTTGTAAAGGAGGATTTGGTTCAGTATTGGGAGATGGTAAGGCCCTGGTTGGTATTACTTCTTGTCACCGACCCCAGACGGAGGTGAGTGACTTGTGAGGTGAAACCAATTCAGTGATCTGCACCCACTCACTCGCTCTCCTCTTCCCTCTCCTCAACCTGCTCTCGTCGACCCAACCTATTCTTGCTGTCCCAAAATCCCCTCCAGTTTCCCTTCAGTTTCTATCCAAATCGTCTCGGTTAGTTTTTCTCCCTATTTCTGAATTGTCTATTTCCCTTTGTGAGATTTTCTCGCAACTGATCTCCCCTGAAACTCCGTTGGGTTGTGATCGACTGCTGTGATGCCACCGCTGACATAGCCCAAGCGCTTCCTAGACGACTCACACACACACTCCCTCATTACCGCTGCGACCTCGACCATCGACATCGCCAATCCTCTTCCATTTAGGTTTTGGATCAATACGACGGGTGCGACGCTAGATGAAACGGTTGGATCTGCGATAGGTGAGTCTTTAATCCTCTCCATCTTCTTCCGGGTGATTCTGGTCTTTGCAGAACCTCAGTTCTACAAGCCATCAAGCCTCAACGGGGAAGGTTGGGGCATCTCATCTCCATTCTACAATCCTTTTATAGTCTCTTCGGATCCATTGGAACCTTTGAATGGAATACTGTGCTAACTGGTGGTGATGGTTGTCGCCTAGGTTTTCAACGGTTTTTTCTTCCCTCGTCAGTCGCTCTCGGCTGTTGCGACTTGGGGTGCCCTCATCCCATCCACAACCCTCCCCCATCTATCACTCTCGTAGATTAATCGCGGGTGATCCATCTATCAACCAACCCTCTCTGGTCTCCTTGTTGTGGTAGGTTTGGATGGATTTTGCCTATACCCTCCCTCCCTCCTGGCCGCCCTCTCTGCCTCTTGCCTCTTCCCCACCCTCGCCGCCGGGTCCACTCTCGCACCCTATTCGAACATTCGATTAATCGAATCATTGATGTAGCAGAATTGTGGTAGCCTCTCATCCTGGACTATTCCATCATGCAGGCTGTCCAGTACGAACGGCATCCTGCTCCTGGCGAGTCGCCTATCTGGACAGATCATGCGCCCCAGGAGTCCCCCCGCAAGAGCCCTATCCCCAAGAACGTTGCCTTCGAGCTCTTGCTCGATGAGAATTCCAAGGTTCGGGCTCGCATTCCCATGCGAGTGCAAATATATCCCCATGACACCACGGACTCGATTGTGACTACTGTCAAGAATTTCTATGGGATTTACGATGGCGCTGCGAGCGGTGTCAGTTTTGAGGATGAGCACGGCACCACACTTATTGCTAGGTATGAGAACTTAAGAAATAACATGACGGTATATGTGCGGGTAATCCCCGTCCAAGCATACACAGAAGGCTACGGTGACCGTTATTTTGGGCATATGCCGGTTGAGGCTCGCAAACGCCCCAGCCTTGGCGAGCCTTTCCAAATGGCGCCCGCAATGCAGTCGGCGCAGATTCCAGATCACGGACAGCCCCCTTCTCGGCCGGGTTCTAGACTCGCTCGGAAGCGCAGTATGTCACCGTCTGGAAGAAGCCGTCGTAGCGCTTCGCAGCACAAGCAGCTCTCCCGAGCGGGCAACAAGAGCAGGGGCTCCAGCACACATGGTAGCTTCCATGACGACGGAGCCTCTCTCTACAGTGACAGTGAGGGTGGATATGGATCTGTCTCGGGTGGCAAGAAATCCCGTAGTGAACAGCTGGGCAGCTCGGATATTAGTATGGACAATATCCTCCAAGATGGCCGCCGCAAGCGGCCCAAGTTTGAGAGTTCGGTTAGTTTGTCCCGGTTGACATGTCGTCAGCCGATTAGCATTGTGCTAACCTTGTACTTTTCTTTGCTATGAAGGAATTGCCATTATTCGTTCCTCCTCAGGTCCCTCTCACTACCTCTACCTCGTCGATCTCCCCTCAACGTCGATCTATCGGCCAAGAAGGTGCTATCTCCCCATTCGCACGCCCCACCCAACGCCCATACAGCTATCAACAACCATTACCCTCACCGCAAAGCTATGGACATAACGATCAGATATACGGGTACAATTCTATGCGGAATAATATCTATGCCACACCAGTGGTGCCGGAACATGGACACCGCCTACGTGAGCGGACCACGACCCAGTCATCGGGGCAGTTCAGTAACCCAGCAGGCAATGGTGCCGGGTCTGGCATTCTTCCAACCCCAGACCCTACTATTGCCAGCTGCATATCTGACGAGGACGTTGCAATGCAATTGATCCGCTTAGGCGATGCCTCCAATTTCTCCCATGGTCGCACATCCGCTTCGACCCTAGATGATGCCTTCAGTGGCGCTGCCGATGCGGCCTCCTCGACAGGAGCAACCAGCGATGGTGAAGATTTCAGTGAAGAGGATGACGACCTGCCCACACGGAGCAGACAGAGGGTGGACTCGAGTCCGATGCTTCCACCGGGCGCTACTAAGCGCACACACAAGCGCTTGGATGACATTCTCCCCAGTTTTGACAGCTCTGATGGAAGTGATGGCGATGAGGAGTACCAGCAAGATGATTACCAGGACAGCTTGATCAAAAATGAGGCCGACGATGATTCTCTCTACAGGGAGTCTGCCCCCAAGACGAAGAAGGCTAAGACACGGGCAAATAGTGCCACCTCAAGCAAGGCTCGAGGAGCCAAGACGGCGCCTATGCGGCAACATAAAATCAACAAGGGCGCACCCACTGCTACTCGTAAGGTAAAGTCCATGCCAACTACGACCAGTCAAAAGCCCGCCGTGCCCCCGCAGATGGTTAGCCCTGCTCCAACACGAAAGACCTCAACTTCCTCGGTCAATTTCCAGCACCAGTTGGCTGCAGACGAAGAAGACTTGTCAACCAAGCCGCGCTGCCAACGCTGCCGTAAAAGCAAGAAGGGCTGCGATCGTCAACGTCCCTGCGGACGATGCAAGGATGCTGGTATTGGCATCGACGGCTGTATCAGTGAGGACGAAGGAAATGGCCGCAAAGGCCGCTACGGCCGTCACATGGGAGTTCCTGTCAAGAAAGCCATCGATAGCTCGGTTGGTGATACACAACCCGTAGTGGCGGCTGCCCCTGCTTCAGTATCAGTATCATCCGCAACCATTGACAAGAACAAGAAGCGCAAGCGTTAGGGTGTAACCGAGGCTTCCAGATCCTCTCTCTAGTGGTGCCTTTTTTTTATGGCACCCGCCTCTCCCTTTCCGAAGCAGTCGAACAAAGCAGGGGAAAGCACTACTCCTTTTGTCCATAGATGAGTCGAGTCAGCTTTTCCAAACTACCGCATATTTGCCATTACTATAAACTTGATGATCACATACATTTGGCCTCCTATTCTTGAAAAATGTCACATTCTTCCTACGTCAATACTCATCTAAGAAGGGAGTTCGCAAAACTTCCCACCTTTTGACTGTTTGATTCTGGTTCACTCAAATCTATGTCGCACGAGCCCTGTGCTCCCTACATTCCTTCCTCTACCCTGAAAACCTCGTCCTACTACACTCCGCATTCTACTATGCTTATAGTCTAGCGATTGAAATGAGCGGGTTGATCATTGTTTCTTTTTGGGCGTTCATGCTGTTACTAGTCTTGATGCGGACAACATTTTCAATGTCACCTCCACTCATTAGCCTATGTTGAAGTGCAAATTTGACTTGTTATATTTGATCCTTTTTTTTCGTGACTTGTCTCCGATTTGCCAAAATGTGCTGTGTAGTCTGTGTGGTTTACTGGGCATCAAATAAGAAATGGATATATATTGAAGCGCGCTATTTACTCACCCGCTGCCTACCGCCTACCTATATAGAAAACCTAGCTGAGCGGCTGATTCAGTACCAAAAGCAGGCCATAGTTTAGTCACTAGGCCTAGGTAGGGCATATGATGAGGTATAGAACTCCCTATACGGGGTGGTTATACGGAGTGCTCCGTACGTAACTAAAAATTATACCTATACTCTGTAGAGCTGAATCGTGACTAATCTAGGCTTTCCGGAAGGGGTATCCCCGAAGCGAGGCTAGCTTCAATTTATATAGAATCATCTGATTAGCTAGAAATTATTATCTATAGTGCGCCTTTCATTATGGTTAGAAAATATTACACACAAAGTAGACTGTTCAGTATGGTAAGTCAGGTTTCGTGGATCATTGCGATATATAGAGGTTTTATTGTGCTGATAAAAACCTATATAGATTTATAGGCGGTAGGCAGATGCCCTGTCTAAATAGCTCGCCAGAAGTTCAAGAGTTTCAATATATGTTGACGTTGCCCAGATAGGCCTGGCGCTGTCTACTCCTAAGTGATTTCTTCGATTCAAGCATCTTTAATAATATAGGCGGTTTTCCCCCTGTCGACAGGTTATGAGCCCTCCGTCACTCATCCTGACGGCCTTTAAAGTCATCTAAACCATCGTTTTGATCCAAAGAAGCTGTTCTTCTCACTACTTTATTAGAAAGCCAAATACTGCCTACACGAAAGGATCTGAGTTCTGATTGGTCCACTTCTTGGGGGTTTCATTGGACGATGATTGACACGTCACGTGATGTTACCTAACAAGAGGCTAGATTCCTAGCTTATTTGAATCAGCTGCTCTGCGGCCCCTGCCTACTTAGGTAAGGTAGTTGATCTAGATAGGCAATCCAGATCCTCGATAGTGCAATCGATTCAGGCCATCTACTGTGTAGGTAGTTAGTATAATTGATTTAGATAATTCTTGTAATCTAGATAGTGTAATTAAAGGTCATGTGGAATTTCCTCCGCTGCGCAAGCATTCCGCCAGGTCCTTGAGCTGGCGGCCTTTAGTAGAATCCTCACTCATGTAGGAGCTGCTTACCACTACTAAACTACAGCCGCTTCCACTCGTCAAACTCCTTCTCCAAGTGTATTTTGAACTCGGAAAAACTGTTTCCAAAATCCCGCCCACAACGCCAGCACGTGTAATTTCGCCGCAAATAGCCCTCTGTAGTAGGATGTCGCCTGACATCGTCTTGCGCCAGGGGGAAATCATCGATAGGGACGAAAAATGGCGTGGAAAAACTATTGTAATGTTTCTTATGTTTCAGTCGGTCGCTGTACCTGTCCACCGAGATAACATGAATATGTAGGTGGTTCATAGATGGATGCGCATGGATCCCGCACATGATCTCTTGTTCCCAGTCTCGTCCCAATGGCAGCTCATCCGGAGGAGGATCTGCACTAAGCGCCTCTTGCCTCTCTTTATCCTGAGCGGAGCCTTTCCCATATCTCCGCCTGAGCTCAGCCGCGGCTAAAGATCGAAGTTTTTTTGTCTCTTCTTTCACTTTTCTCAGAAACTCTGGATCTTCGAAGGCTTCGAAAGGATGGAGACGGGTTTTAGAAGCATCCCGCGGAAGTAGAAGTAGATGGAGGGTTGACTTTGGGAAAAGATCGTGAATCGCGACGAAGTCATCATTGTGATACACAACGATACTGGAAGGGAAAGATTCCGGCTTTGCGATATAAGCGCCTAGAGCGTCGCGCGGGCCCCCGATGGCTCTCTTGTTTGGACTGTCTTTTGTGTACTTTGCGTGCTTAGGTTTAGGGGCGAGGAGCTCGGCGACTATTCATATCAGCTTTCTTTCTTTGAATAGACAAGTATTGCATAATACAGGCGTCTCTTTTTCCCGTTTTCGATTCTGCCGCGACGGTCGCAGCTGCCGCGCCTTGGTCTTCTGGGCTTCGTGAGCCGTCTGCCATAGTTAGTGTAGATATTGCGATTATGATATTGCGCCTATTTGGCCGTCAAATATGGTCAAGTTGCCATGGTTGCACTCGGAGTTGCAAGTGACTGCGGAGCAGCGAAGCTGAACCAGAAGGCGATAAATTCCGCGGCGACTTCCCCGCAGCCCTACAGTCCCAAAAAAAGCGGCCCTAGTGCGGGACAGCCAACTTCCGCCTTAACAGCAATTCAACCCATTCTTTTCTTTATCGAAGGGTGTGATTGCTCCACGGGCGTCTTCTTCAAGATAGCATATTATCGTGGCAGTATGGGCCCTAAGAAGAAAGCTGACGCCCGTGGAGGAGGTCCCAAACCGGGTACCAAGCAAGCCAAAGCCGCCGCAGAGAAAACAGCGACTGAGGCTGCAAAGAAAACGCAGCCCCCACCGGATGAGCAGAAGAAACCTTCTGTGAAGCAGGTCATCGGTGGCGCGTCATGGACCGGTAAGCTACCGGTGAATATGCTCTCGGAGCATTGTCAGAAGCAGAAGTGGGAGAAGCCTGAGTATACAATGGTGAGCAATGGACGGGTAGCATGCTCTTAGCATGACATGTAGCCACACGGCGCAGGTTTAGTTCCGTTTTTGGCTAATAGTTTATACTGCATACTAGACAAAAGCACCAGAAGGTTATATGTCAGCGGTTATATTGAAACGTGTCGACCCTAAGACTCGCGAAGCAACTACCCTTCCTCCTATGAAGCCACCTCCGTCACACAAACACTTGGCTGCGCAACCTACGGCACTAGAAGCTCGTCACTTTGCTGCTGCGTACGCTCTGTATCGGGTCTGTAACATGAGGAACATTCACATGATGCTTCCACCGACCTATAAGAAGCTCTGGAAAGAGGATTTCGCTGATATTAAGACTGCCGACACCAAAGAAGGTAAAGGGTGGATGTACGAAGCAGACCCATTTTTGGCTAAACAAGAGCGGGAATGTGTCGCGGCCGATTTGGAGAAAAAACGGAAAGAGCGAGAAAAGAATCAGGCTAAGGCGAAGGATCAACCAGCTGTCGAATTGGGCTTGGGGTCCCGCGGTGATAACAGGGGGAAAAGGATCTGGTCGAGCGCTCCGAAAGTGGACCTGGGGAGTAAAGTGCGCCGAGAAATTGAGAGCCTCTTGCAACAGCATGCGATTTGGAATCCCTATAATGTGAAGATCCCGGAATCTGAGCGTAACTCCATCATTGAGGAGTTCACTCGCTTGGGCTTCCGGCGCAGTCATGTAGATGAGGCGACTTCTGCATGCAAAGACAGAGAAGAGGTGCTTGAGTGGCTTCTAATCTATGTTCCAGAGGATGATCTTCCAACTTGGTGTCTACCAGAGTCATACTCTGCTGGCGTGAGTCTAGCCAGTGATGACCTTGCAAGGGAGGCGAAGATTAAACGACTGGCCACCATTGGTTATTCTGCAGACCTTTGCGCGCGGGCACTGGATAGCAAGCAAGGCGATGAGCTTGCAACTGCTGAAATGCTACAAAACACATTAGTACATGGAACGACTACCTCTGCAGGCTCTATGTCTCCTGAAGGCGATGATTCCTGGGCCGAAGAACAGGAGACCCTCGAAGCTATCTTCGGGGAGCGTTATGTTAAGGCATCGCCCAAGGTATGTGAGATTAAGAGCGAATCCTCCGACTTACCAGAGTCAACTACATTCCGATTCCAAAGACCCTCAAATCACTACCCATCCTCAGTGCCGATTATTTCGATACAAGCGAAAGGTATCCCTTCTTATATACGGCTTAGCGCGATCCGTCAAGCAGTGAAACATGCAGAGGAAAACTTCTCAGGAGAGCCAATGGTATACAACTTGCTTGACTGGTTAGAGATGCATCTTCCAGAGATTATGCAAAATCCGGGCAAGTTGCGAGATATTGCAACGGTCGCCGCAACGCAACCTACTACAGGAAATATCTTAGAACTTCCTGTGCGCCAATCTCGCAAGAAGAGTAAGGAGATTAACTGGCAACCGGGCTCGTCTCAGAGTATATCTGTTCGAGAGGCCTGGCAGGCTAGACAGTCTACGCCAGCCCAACAGGACATGACTCGAAAGCGAGAATCACTTCCTGCTTGGAACATTCAAGATGCGATCGTACGTGCAGTGAATTCGCATCAGGTTACTATCATCTCTGGTGAGACAGGTAGCGGTAAAAGTACTCAGTCAGTCCAGTTCATATTAGACGATATGATCAGGCGAGACCTTGGCGGCATTGCGAACATTATCTGTACGCAGCCACGTAGGATCTCTGCTTTAGGTCTTGCGGATCGTGTGAGCGATGAGCGATGCACCTCTGTAGGAGATGAGGTTGGGTACGTCATCCGAGGTGACTCTAAGGTCAGATCTGGGGCGACGAAGATCACTTTTGTCACTACTGGTGTTTTGCTTCGTCGTATACAGTCTGGAAGCGGTGCGGACGGCAATGTTGCAGGCTCTCTCGCAGATGTCACACACATCGTAGTGGATGAGGTTCATGAACGGAGTCTTGATACTGATTTTCTCCTCGCCCTCCTACGTGACGTTCTTCGGTACCGCAAAGACATTAAGGTCATACTTATGAGTGCAACGCTTGACGCAGAAATCTTCATCAACTACTTTGGTGGTCGTCAGAATGTTGGACTGGTGAACATCCCTGGGCGGACTTTCCCTGTGTCTGACTTTTACCTGGACGACATCATCCGTGACACGGGATTTTCACCAGAGTTGGCTGAGCGGGATTTTGAGGAAGATTCTTCTCCTCAGGGCGAAGAGTCACTTGGCAAGGTTCTTCGGAACATGGGCATGGGTATCAATTACGAATTAATCACGTCCACTGTCCGGTATATTGACGCTCAGCTTGGAGATCAACCGGGAGGCATTCTCATCTTCTTGCCCGGTACTTTGGAAATTGAAAGATGCCTGAACGCCGTGAAGAAGATACCCAATGCCCATCCACTTCCTTTACATGCATCCCTTCTGCCAGCTGAGCAACGGCGTGTATTTTTGAGTCCCCCAAAAGGAAAGAGAAAGGTTATCGCAGCAACTAATGTTGCCGAGACATCCATCACAATCGAGGATGTTGTCGCGGTTATCGACACTGGCCGCGTCAAGGAAACAAGTTACGATCCCAAAGACAATATGGTCCGATTACAAGAAGTATGGGCATCACAAGCCGCCTGTAAGCAACGACGAGGACGTGCTGGTCGTGTTAGGGCTGGTGCATGCTACAAGCTCTACACTCGGCAAGCAGAGAATAAGATGGCACCACGACCGGACCCTGAAATCCGCCGGGTACCATTAGAACAACTGTGCCTCTCCGTAAAGTCCATGCAGGGCATCAACGACGTCGCAAATTTCCTGGCGAATACCATCACGCCTCCTGAAAGCGTGGCCGTTGAAGGAGCTTTGGGCTTCCTTCATCGTGTGGGAGCCCTGGACCATGACAAACTGACAGCCCTTGGACGATACTTATCCATGATCCCCGCTGACTTGCGATGCGCCAAACTCATGGTCTACGGCTCCATATTCAACTGCATAGACCACTGCATCACCATCTCCGCAATCCTAACAGTGAAGAGCCCCTTTGTCTCACCCCGCGATAAGCGCGAGGAAGCAGATGCCGCCAAAGCATCCTTCTCCCGCGGAGATGGCGACCTCCTCACTGACCTCACAGCCTACCAACAATGGTCAGAGCGCGTCAAAGCCCAAGGATACTGGCAGACACAATCATGGTGCAGCGCCAACTTCCTCTCCCATCAAACCCTCCGCGATATCTCCTCCAACAAAGCCCAACTCCTCACCTCCCTCAAAGATGCCGGCCTCCTCCCAGTCGACTACTCCTCGGACCCATCCGACCCGCGCTGGAATCGCAACGCAGGCAACCGAACCCTCCTCCGAGCCCTAATCGCCGGCGCCTTCCAACCCCAGATCGCGCAGATCTCCTTCCCAGACAAGAAATTCATGAGCTCTGTCACAGGAACCGTTGAAGTCGACCCAGACGCTAGGACAATCAAGTACTTCAACCAAGAAAATGGCCGCGTCTTCATCCACCCAAGCTCCCTCCTGTTCTCGGCCCAGAGCTACCCCGGCTCGGCAGCGTACCTAAGCTACTTCACTAAAATGGCGACAAGCAAGGTCTTCATTCGTGATTTAACTCGTAAGCTCCCTACATCCATCTCCGCTCTATTTTCACTTCCATTATACCATATACTTGGCTATATCATGCATTGGACATAATTGATCGTTGCTAATTAATCGGACACAAAATAGCATTCAACGCCTACTCGCTCCTCCTCTTTTGCGGGTCCATCGATCTTGATACGACGGGCCGTGGCCTTATCGTCGATGGTTGGTTACGGCTCCGTGGGTGGGCGAGAATCGGTGTCCTTGTTTCTCGCTTACGTATGATGGTGGATGAGATTATTGCGGCGCGGATTGATAACCCTGCCTCTGGGTCTCTGGAAAAAGGAGTTGGTGAGAAGGATGATACAGCGAGCCGGGTTATTGAGGTTGTGAAGAGATTGATTGAGTTGAATGGGTTGGATCAGTAGTGGTTTTGACTGGTTTAGTTATACGTACTTGTATAGACGGCTGCGCGTGTGAGATGACATGTAGAGGAAAAGTTACTTTAGAAGAAGATATAGATGTCTTTACGTATTTATACTCAGGCTTCAGCTTTAGATCCCTCTCCCTTAGTGTAGTGGCGGCAGTAGAAGGAAAGCTCAGTTCTATACTGGCAGTTCAGAAATTCGGATAGGCAGTTTAGACTTGAGCTCATGTTGCAGTAGAAGGTAGGTATAGTAAGACGTAATCGTACAGCTCAGACTATTTGATATCTTAATTTGAAAAGTGGTCTTCTTTAATATCAGAGAAATTGACATTTTATTGTCTCGAAGACCTTATCAGCATACTTAGAAGGGTAACTCTGTATTCCATACAAATTGACGCTTTTGATATTCAGATATCTCCACAATCAGAGATAGTAAGATTGTAAATTTTACGTAGGATATATAATCATACAAGATATATAATAAATAAAGCAGAAAAGGTTCAATAACCGATACTTTAGTCAGTATTGAATATTACATCTGTATTTTTGATATCCTTG